ACCTAAGATGGCAGCCCCATCACAGCGGATAGGAGACCTTAGGCCAACCACCTACTGTCTCTGAAACCTGTACAATTGTTACAGAAACCAACAGAGAAAGACATCGAACTGATATAACGGCAACGACTTTTAGCGCAAAACAACGGACACGAATTGTATCATGGAATGTATTGACGTTAGCCCAGCAGGGTAAACTGGCACAACTCGCCAACGAGGCGCGACGCATGAAGCTAGAAATCCTGGGACTGAGTGAAGTTCGTTGGCCAAACTTTGGAGAACACAAACTGCCGTCGGGACAGGTACTACTATACTCTGGTATTCGAGGTGAAAACGCTCCCCCCCGCCATCGTGGAGTTGGTCTCCTACTTAGCGTCCAGGCAAGTGCTGCGCTCATCAAGTGGGAGCCTTTTAATGAGAGGATAATCGTTGCCAGATTTAGAACACGGGTTCGTAACCTTACCATAATCCAATGTTATGCGCCAACCGATGCTGCCGAGCTACAGGACAAGGAGAATTTTTACAGTCAACTGAATGCCGTCGTGGATAAGGTTCTAAAGGGTGACATCACTGGCAACTTCAATGCGAAGATCGGCTCCGACAATACGGACTATGAGCGTGTCATGGGATGCCATGGTCTCGGCGAAATGAGCGAGAACGGTGAGCTGTTTGCAGAATTTTGTGGCAATAACGACATGGTGATCGGGGGCTCGCTCTTCCCCCATCGGCCAGTGCACAAAGTCACGTGGGTTTCCCGTGATGGACATACCGAAAATCAGATCGACCACATCTGCATCAGCCGAAAATGGAGACGGAGCCTTCTTGATGTTCGGAATAAACGCAGCGCCGACATGGCGTCTGACCATCACCTTCTAATCGGTGAAATCCGCCTACGCATGGTGCGAATCCAGCGACGGGAGGAGGAGGGTCCAAGGGTCGATCGCATATCAGCAGAGATGCTCAAAGCTGACCCCATGCTATCCGCACAAATGTTGCATCAACTATTCTGTAATATCTGGGACACCGCGACTTTTCCGGCCGACTGGATGCAGGGCATCTTAGTGAAGGTCCCAAAGAAGGGGGATCTGACTGTGTGCGACAATTGGCGAGGCATCATGTTACTGTGTATTGTTCTCAAAGTTCTGTGCAAAGTTATCCTGAATCGGATACAGGAGAAGATCGACGCGACTCTCCAACGGCAGCAGGCAGGATTCCGTGCCGGAAGATCTTGTGTGGACCATATTGTCACGCTCCGCATCATCCTGGAGCAGGTCAATGAATTCCAAGAGTCCCTTTATTTGGTATTCATTACCAAGAAAAAGCTTGGGACCGTCTCAATCACGAGAATCTGTGGGGCGCCCTGAGACGCAAGGGAGTCCCGGATAAAATCGTCAACCTCATCGAAGCGCAGTATGAGCCTTTCACGTGCAGAGTTCTGCATAACGGAGCCTTGTCCGACCCTATCCGGGTAGTCGCTGGTGTGAGACAAGGATGTATACTATCACCGCTACTGTTTCTCATCGTAATCGACGAGATCATGGTAGGTGCAATTGACCGTGTACCGAAGCGTGGGTTGCTTTGGCAGCCTATCACCATGGAGCATCTCAACGACTTCGATTTGGCTGATGATGTTGCTCTACTAGCACAACGGCGCTCTGATATGCAGAGTAAGCTCAATGACCTAGCCGAACGCTCCTCTGCGGCGGGTCTCACCATCAACGTCAACAAGACCAAATCGTTGGATATCAACACGGGCAACCCTTCCAAATTTACGGTAGCGGGACAAGCAGTGGAGAAGGTCGAAAGTTTCCAATATCTTGGCAGCCAAATAGCGTCGGACGGCGGGACCAAGAGCGACATAGGTGCACGAATCAAGAAGACTAGGGCTGCCTTTGCGAGTTTACGAAACGTCCCAGATAAGTCAACGCACCAAAATCCGAATTTTCAACTCGAACGTGAAATCTGTGTTGTTATACGCCAGCGAGACGTGGTGTGTATCAGCGGAGAACACTCAAAAGCTGCAGGTCTTCATCAACCGATACCTGTGGTATATAATTCTGTCATCAGAAGCCGATAGCAACATAAATTCGAGAGCGAAAGTGGAGGTGGGTCGGCCACACACTTCGACGGGGCGGAAACGAAATCTGCAAGCAAGCGGTGGATTGGAATCCGGCAGGACATCGTAGCAGAGGCAGACCCAGGGGCTCATGGCGGCGGAGCCTCAATAAGGAAATTAAGCAAGTCGATAGGAATCTGACCTGGGCCCAGGTCAAGGCAAAAGCGAGCAGCCGCCCAGGATGGAAGTCTTTCACGTTGGCCCTTTGCACCACTGGTGGTGCACAGGACCCTTAAGTAAGTAAGTAAGAGCGCTCACTCTGAAAGCCCACGCACATTAGATCCGGATCGGACGCGTTGCGGCAAAGTGACAGCTAAATCTATTGTCTAACTGTCAAATTTACGTCAACGCAACGCAAACGGATCTAATGTGGGTGGCCCTTGAGTGAACGCTCACGAATCATGAATTCGCTGATTGTGACACTCTGAAAGCGAAATTGACAGGTTTCATGTCTCAAACACATACTTTACAACCTCTTCTTTTAACTTACAAGCACATAACATCATAATAACATCTAATGATTTTATAATTCCGAAAAATCATTTTTATAGCAAGTGAATGGAAGCAAGTCTGATTGAAATACATTAATTACTTTAAGTACTTTCGCTTGGATTTTAAATATGACGCACTATTTCTCAGTCTTGCGTGCCCCTCGGCTACAAAACCGTTTCTTGTCGTGTTTACCGTATTAGATGCTAGATTATAGCTTCTTTTATAAAACTATATGTTGAAAATAGCTGGAAGTGTCTATACATGGTCGTGGGGATGCAAAGAGTAAATCTACAAATAGAATCTGTCAATTTTACTTAGGAACTTGACTTGACTATCACTTGAAACTTCGTTATATTTGCGGTCGTGAGATGATCTATTTGGCTTTTATTTTTATTCTAAAAGCATCGTGATATACACACTTAATCTAGCTCGGTAAAATCTCCAACAACCGATTACCTCGGCATTTACTTTTGACGATATGTATGTATGTATGTAAGGTAGCCACCATCCCTTCGAAGATCTTGTCTTGTATGCAGCTCCACTTAATAGCAAGATCAATTTGAGCTACCGATCTGAATTCACAATATCGCTGTATGAAGGGCCAAAAACGGTGGGGTGGACCCGTAAGCAGAGGCACTTACGCGAAATCCACGGGAATTTAAGAATCTCCTTCCAACGATACGATCCAACAAATCGAATAACGCAATTCGCAATACTTATTAAGCTTCCTACAGGATGGTTTGTTAAGAAGGGCGCGTCAATCTCCATGAAACTGTTGGAGTAGAATTCACACCATCACAATCGAATCGGTAGGATAAAGAAAATGATAGTGTTAATTCCCTCCTAGACTCCGGTTGTCATACCACTCCAATCGTCCAGTTCCAGGTCAAATGATACCCTGATGCTCCCTCCCAACCCAGTATTTATTTATATATATAGTAAACATATGTAATGGAGAAATGAAATATATCAGAACATTAAAATACGTAATAATGAAAATACATTTATATGGATAAAAAAGCTGGTATTCCGCAATGAAAATAATAATTATTTTACAAACAATATGATGCAGCTCTATGCCTCCTCAGCTCCCAATAAGGAAGATGTAATCCTGAAATTTCCAGGTTATATTATACAAATAAATATTTTTAGCTAGAATGATACTTGATATTTTTGTGTTGTGTTATGTTGTGGGAGAGCTTGGGATTAAACCCATGATATTCTGCTCATTAAGCAAAACCGATCCCTCTAAGGTTATCGAGCATCTCAAAACCAAAACACTCCACGGCAAAACATGATTAAGCCCTCACCTGGTATGTAATGAACAACAGAAATACGCGATAATTCATATAATTTCAGCATATGATGCAATATTACAACTGTTGATAAAACGAACGGATCCCATCTTATTTAAGACCTGGATGACCTGAAATGTGTGTTACCGGGTTAATACTTATTTAAATGTAATATAATATTGAAAATGCGTTATAATTCGGCATTTACTTTTGACGATATATCTGCAAAATATCTGTTTGTTAACTGTGTGTGTATTATCTGGCTCAAACGGAAAGAAAAAACTGGCTCTTTCTTCCTCATCAGTTCTTACGCGAGAAGTGAAAGTGACGTCAAGAATGTATGAATAATTGGCGTTGACGGTGACTCTGTAGCTCTTTACTCTTATGGTAAAATCCATAAGCAAACGTCAGACTGTGTGTGAAACATGGCGGACTTTGTACTATTCTTTCACTCCACCGAGAAATCCCGTAAGAAACTGTCAATCTTTTCTAGAAGAGACGATTTTTCGACGGCACCGTCAACGCCAATAAGGAGTGAAAAAAAATCATTCCGAATCGTGCTCTCTTGCCGTGCGGATCTATTTGCTTTTTGCTTAAGTAAGTGTTACCAACCGGTCAGCACTCGTGTTTATTTCAGTTACCATGGGACGTAATTTGTGATTGGCCCCGGTCCCTTTCAAATTGTCTTATTATTTATGAACGGCCCTTATATTTGAAATGACGTAATGGTGTAATATTGTCACTGTGGAGCTTTTAGTTTCAGGTCTCGACAGGTAGGATCCCTTATGAGCCCTTGTGGCACGTCAAGCCGGCCATGTCAGCGCATGGAAGAAAAAAACAGTTCAATATTTTCATTTTCAGATAAATTACATGCCTATTCATCAGACTTCCTCCATGGGCCTTATTACGGGTGTCACTACACGGTGATAAGGAAGTGATACTCGGAATAAGAGCCGTGATTGCCGAACAAATCAAATGGGAATCACTTCACCGTGACGACAAGTGACAAGTTTTCACCGTGAAATGACATCCGTAATAAGCCCCCATATGTAAATAATTCATGCGTTCTTTTGTTCCACTTCAGTGACTAGTTCCTGTCATACGATAATATAAAAGTGTGTTTATTATTGAATTTGTATCCTTTCATTATTGTATGTGTTGACTTTTTTTTATCAGATTTCACTAGATTCAATCTCAAAATTAGTGACGCTCTACTAAAATTAGGTAATTCCGCAGATTAACATATCAAACGATTAAAACGCCGTGGAATGAACTTAAGTCATTAGGAAAGCTACTTACATGAGGTAAACTGAAGGTACTAATTACAGAAAACACCAAACGTTCTTCGCATTTGCTGTTTGCCCATTCTAATCCTACAGTCAAATCGTCCTATTATTCTATCATGAACATACTCGTTTTTCATCGGTTCCCCAGAACTAAACAAACTACACACTTAGATTTTTGCCGAGATGGACACCACCGAGCAGCCCGGTATTATGTTTAGCTGGATCTCAGTTAAAAACTTGCCGAGATTCAGCTAACAAACGATAATTTTGCCGACATCTCAGCTAACAAACGAAAACAGTTTTTCACTGAGATTCAGTAAAATAAAATGCCGAGCTACTCGGTGGTGCCCATCTCGGCAAAAAAATCTAAGTGTGTACACTCCTTTACTAAGAAAATTTACAACTAATCAACAGCACTAGTTTTCTAAAGACTCACGTTTCAATATCCTTCATTTTTCTCTCTCTCTCTCCTACAGCACTCCTGACTGAGATTACAGACTTACGTCCCTTGCCCCGACGACGTACTGGCCACACCCGAGGCTAGTTGCGCCCAGCAGCCATTTGATTTGGTTTGATTTTTTCGAAGAAAAAGTCTTGCATCGTGCTCTTACCTGGTGTGCGAAGTTTCTTCTGAACGAAGTGAAACTGCTCCAGCGCAAACTCGTACAGTTCGTTTTCCATCTGCCAGACGGTTGACTTCTGGATTTGGTTGATGGTTGCCGGCAGTGGATCCACTTTGGATTTGGTCTTTCGCAGGTGAGACTTGTTCGACTTTCGGAAGTGCTCGGTTGCTCCCTTGAAGAATCTTTGAAGAGAAAATTTGCTCAATGCTACCCTTACCTATATAGAAAAAAAACACCTCTCATACCTGGGAAGTGCCAGTTCAAGCAGTTCTACAAACTCGTCCATTTCCTCGGTGACTCCCACGAGAAAGTACTCGTTGACCAAATTTCTCTTTGCCTCCTCCAAAGCCCACGTGCTGCCCGATTTCCAGCACTCTGCTGCATGGCCACAAAAGAACGGTATCTGAAGCCACATGTTCGTGGGATCACAATCCGGCTTCTGGCGAGCGACGCACTCATCGAACGTCATTGTATCGCCGGCACGGTGACGCACCAGGTGAGGCCTATAATCGTCTCCATAGCGCAGGAAATAGTAATAAGAAACCAACCGATCCAACGGCTTACGGATCAAATTCAAGTACAACGGTCTAGCGGCCGGAACGCCTAGTTTCGCAAAGTTTAAGTAAGCTAGATGACCATGGTAGAAGGCCGGTTTCATTGCTTCCCACGCGGTCACATTTCTCACGAATCGTATCTGGTTCGGGAGGGACATTACGTGCATGTTAGCCGTGATGTTAATATGCAGCACATGGAATGCATTTTTCCGGCAGAGATCATAGGTTAAATTTACGAAACTTGTGCTCCCAGTTTTCGGAACACGGTTGTATATCACGACCAGCTGTTCATCAAAGTTTATTGTCTTGAGGGAAGGATCTTCCTGGTTGATCATCGTCTGCCAGTGACGTACACTGTTCGATAGCAATCGATCCGGATTACCTGCCCAAATATTGAATCCCGTATTAATTTCCAAACATGACATTCGAATTAATAGCATTTTCCAAACCTGAATCGTACTGCACGACCATCTTCTCCTCGGGGGCATAGGTGGACGCAAACCAGTGGAAAAGCACGATGAACACCAACCCGGCAGCGATCAGTATTAGGAGGAAAAAGTACTTTGTTGTTATCATTGCCGTCGCCCACCGCCGGCCGCACCTTCTTTTAGCTATTCTGCTGCGAGATTACGCGTGATCCTTTTTTTTTTTGCTCCTGGACGATGCGTTTACTTTTGATACCAAAATCTGATGATGGTTTACTTTTGCTGCGGACGGCGATCCACATTCATCGATCACATTTTTCGGTGCAAAGCACTGATAGCGCGAGAAGTGAACCGTGATAATTTGCAAAGCGATAGACGGATGGTTTCTGCCAATAAAACTCAATTTGATTTCGAAGCACTTTTCTGGACTTTTTTTTTTGTGATTGTGATGTTTTTGATTTGTTTACTTTCACTCGGAAGATGACAGCAAAGTTCAGAAGCGTTGCCAGTTATGCTGCTATGCGAATAAAAACTGGTATAAACACAGTGTGTATCGCCTCACTCAGACAAAAATCTAAACTAATAAAATTCTCACTACTAATACGACTAATACCAACAATCAATACGAAACTAACGATTTTAAATTGGCTCACTACTTGACTACCCGCATAAATGCAAACCATTACTTTACCTTACCAAAAATGGTTAAAAATGGTTTATAATCCCTGCTAAATTTTAACTGAAATGGTTATGGAACTTTACATGACCGTTTGTGTGATAAAGTTTTAACCTTATGTATTATGGTTTTTTGGAAGTGAACCTTACAAATAATGGGTTGTTAAGAATCATTACCATTTCAAATTCTTGTTTTTTTCATACATTTTTGGGAAAGGAATTATATTGGAACTTTTTTATTTATGATTTGAGAACTTTAATGGTAATAGTACGTTCAGACTACAGAGTTATAACATGTTATAGCGCTATCTTGATGGTGGTTTCTGTGTTGCAATTATTTGACAACCGTTATAACATGTTATAACTCTCCAGTCTGTACAGCGTTTAATAGTTATGGTAGTCGGTAAGGTTCATAGCTGGTTTTGTGACATCCATCAACTTTATGTGGAATATATCGCGAATTGGTTGCCTGTAAATTACTGATTACCAATTCGCGATATATTCCACGTAAGGTTGACCGATAATACTATACCATTAATGGACCTTACTGGCTACCATAACCATTACCATTAAAGTTCTCAAACCATAAGTAAAAAGGTTTTAATATAGTCCTCTCTCCGAAAATGTATGAAGAAAACAACTATTTTGAATGGTAATGGTTCTTAACAACCCATTATTTGTAAGGTTCACTTCCAAAGAACCATAATACATAAGGTTAAAACTTTATCACACAAGCGTTCATGTAAAGTTCCATGACCATTTCAGTTAAAGTTTAGCAGGGATTATAAAACATTTTTAACCATTTTCGGTAATGTCAACCCTAATAAAAAATAACCACCCTAATAAAAATTGTATGGTTAATTTGCTTAACGACGTGTTCTGGGTATCATCCAAACCATTTGTGGAATAGTTCAATGGTTTGGGTTATCGTTCGTTTATGGTTATTTTTTATTAGGGCATACACGAACGATAACCCAAATAATAGAACTATTCCACAAATGGTTTGGATGATACCCGGAACACGTCGTTAAGCAAAATAACCATAATAATTTTATTGGGGAAGTTATGGTTCGCTTTTATGCGGGTAGCCTACCCGACCAACCATTTCGTTAATTTTCTTTGATTTTCTATACATCGATCTTCAAAGCCATTCATAAGAAAAATCGATAGCGATTGTCACCATTTCATGAATAATTGTAAAGATGCTAAAAGTCTAATCGTGAATCGTTTATAAACATCTTTCTCAAAATATTGCTACCAATCGTTACCAATAATATCGATTGTGTTGCCAGATCAAAATATCGATTTCTGTTGTAAAATCAAAATATCGATACACAACTGCTGATTTTATTTGTGATTTTTTATCTGCATGATTTCTAGTTTCGATCCCATGCCATCTGGGGTGTACTGATTTCGTTGTTGGTTGCTAATCCTCGGGTCCACGGCTGCTGTTGATGAGCTTATCAACGACAGGCAAACACACTATAGTATGTGGTGTATTGAAATTTCTGTACATCTTTTCATACATGAATTCAATATTTATTTGTCATAACCATCAACCAGTCAGCCATGTAGGTGTAATAGAGTTCAAAAAGGTGTAAATTTTCCTCATTGGGTTCCAAATGCCGAGAATCCCACCACGCATGCTATCACGGGTTATTAAATATATAGACGTAAACTTGAAGAACTACAATGGTAAACATTTGCTGCATCGCGGCCATCGGTCTTCTCGTTCATTTACCGGCAGATTGCTTCTTCCGATGAAATGCCGAATATGTCCTGGAATATGTCAATAAATAATATAAACATTGCCATCTGTCCTCCTGGATGTCCTCCAAAAATTCGACAGAATCTAAAAGATAACGAAAATAAAACAGCGAGAATAGAATGTCATTTTTTCTCAAGATACGCTTATAAACGGATAAACTTACATTCGATGACACTCGGATCATCATCAGCTTCGTTTGAAATGGACGACCCTGTAGACGACTCAAGCTGAATATAACTCTTGCTTGGGATCTTGTTCTCAATATCATCCGCCTCCAAAAGCACCTTCGGAGGAGATGAAATTTCTGGACTGACAGCATCAGAAGCACGCCGTTTGGAGAGTATGGACGCAACCAAATCCGAGCCACTAGGATGCTTCAGGGCAACATGCCGCGTAAAACTATATATAATCCAGTTCCAGTTACCAGCAGCATCAGCGGTTGCTGAGAGCTTAATATTTTTTCCGGCAAAAGTACACAACGGACAAGTAATTTCCGCTCGGTATTGTTCCATGGCAACGGTACACAGCAATCATCAAGTTTGACATGAAGTATTGGTGATCTAAGTGATATTTCCTACGAAACAGAAAATTAAAATTTTAATTCAAAGGTTACAACTACATTAGCTTGGATTTTAGAATGATCAGGACCAAGTGTCACATTACTGAAGTCGGTCAAAATACCTTTTTGGTACAAACTTGGTACAAGTAGTGCATTCTAAATTCACTAATTTAATTTTAATTTCACCCTTCTGTATACTTACGGATTGGTGAAATGGGCTTCAATCTTCATTCGGAGTTTTTCCTTGTGGCCATCAAATTCATCGTCTTGATCCTCGGCGGACCCAAGATGCATTCGCGCCCTGATTCGCACTTTTTTGCGTGCTTTCAAAAACGGCCTAATGCCATTTGTTCGCACAATATCCGCAAGATCCAGAATGCACAGGATCTCTCCCTCTATGAAACTAAACTCATGTGGTCGATCCGCGTATCTCCCATACAAACTTTCGAGAGATGGTCCACCAATGGCTGCTTTCTCTGCCACGTCCTGTGCCATCTCTCGCATATCTCTCTGAATGAGCAATATTTCTTCCCTGGTCAGCCTTGCTAATGACATGCTGACCAGGTTCGATAACTGCAGTATAGACTTGATGTGAAGACTTACGTTACCATACACTGCTTCGATTTTCATCCAGAAATAATCCAGGAAATTTGTTGTGTGTTTAATTTATTTTCAAAAAAGCTGAATAAAAGCCTACCTCATCCATTTCTAAAAAAATCAACACGAATGGACGGACGGGTTTTGTTCTGCTGGTGTCCTGGCTGGTGTAAAATAATTCAGTCTCAGGTTCACCTTGCTAGTTTTATAATTTTATTGTAAATAAACAGAAAAAAACAGTTCCGGAGTGATTTGAGATTTGGGCGTAATTGCATTTGTAAACAAACACGTCAATCGCCGATTTATCGTGAATAAAAGCTTTGAATAAAAGATTGGAATGACTTTTCCTATGACTTTGACAGATAATCGATTGTTCCAATTCTGACATATCGTCTCTTTATAAATTCAGGCTCTTTATAGAGTTCTCCAGATGCACAAAAATGTGCGTGAGACCGCGCGCTACCTTTTTAAGTAGTTGTGATATCGCGATACCTTTTTGTTTCTTCTTCTTCTTAGTTTTTACGTATGGATGTTGGATTTTAGTGTTCGTGAGATTGCGCTTGGAGATCTCTATTAAACAAGGTGGCAGAGTGAGTTACCCCTTGGTCTACACTCAAAAAATTTATCATATATCTAATGGATGAAAACCATGTGAATTTCACATAGCTTTCATGTGATCACATAGCTGAAAAATCCCACCACAAAATCATATGAATATTATGAAGCCGATGAAATTCATATGAAAAATCATATAAAATTAACGTCATCGCATAAATGTTATGTGAAATTCAGATGAATTCCATTAATTTTGTTTATGGATGAAAACCATTTGCGTTTCCAATGGAAGCTACATGAAAACTAGAAATACTCAGAGGGATAGATAGGCGGAGAAAATAAAAAATTCGGCAGCAGGGATTTGTTCCTAAATAATCTTGCAACCCTTGCTAGAAGCTAGCATTTCAAATGACTTTTATTTCTGATTCGATTTACGTGCAAAATAATAATTGATTGCATCGCAATTGATGAATCTACGCGAAACTGCACCAGTGCATGCAACACCTAGGTTTGAAATCCAAAACCACAAAAGTGATGATGTACTAAAAAATATTCCAAACGATTTGACAGCTAGCAAAACGTCATTATCATTTTCACATCATTTCCATCTGCTGGCCGACCGTAACGTAGATTCATCAATAATTTGCACATTTCTTGGTGCCATTCATTAACCAACGAAGATCAATTAATCAATTGAGTTAGAATATTGTTTTTGGTTCCAAAAACTAGTTGAATTTGAGAAGCACACAAAACATAAAGGTGATTGAATTTCTATTCGATTGCAATACTCTCAAATTTATTCTAGTAAGAATAAGAAATCCTCGGAAAAATCTAATTAGAATGTTCGATTGGCTCAGATTTTGACAGTTCATTTGGCTCAAAACATTCTCTCCGCCCATCTCTCCCTCTGAGTATTTCTAATGTAAACTATTTTCGGTGTATCTGAAAAGTGACGCGAGAATTATTCATAAATTAAAATTGTTTGGCAGCACTGGAAGGTACTAAAATTATAGTCGTCGTGATGCATGCAAAACGTCAAACAGCGGGATTATAAAAAATCAAACACTCCTCCACAGTTGACGCAAAGGGATTTCTATCAGCTTTGCTCTTAAAATTTAACGATTAGTCTCCATAATTTCGGTTCATTAAAATCACAAAATTGTCCATAGTTGGAATTATTTTGTTCGTTTCAATAGTATTCCTGAAGTATCTTCTGTAGAGCGCAAAATTTCGTTCACATTTGCAGTGTCTTGTAGTTTCCTTGTGTTCTAACCTCAAACGTTGATCAAAACAAAAAGGTTCCATTCCTGATTCGCTAAACCAGACAAGAAAAAAACACCTCAGAGCTAGAATGGCGGCCGTAATCCGTCTGAAGAGAAGGGTGGACGAAGATCCACTGGACGCATTTGTTCTGAACTGCAAACGGCAACGGACAGATCCCGGTCAACAGCAGGACCCGACAGATGATGCCAGTAGCTCGAACTCGACCGGTGAAACTTCCACAGTGTTGAAATTTGCAGGAACATTTCCAAAGGTTTGCCATTCTTACTTTTGTTCATTAACAGAATGTTGCTCAAATGAAATATGTTTTTTAGGCGGACAACATTCCCACACACCTTCAGCAGCGACTGTCGAAAGATGAAGCCAGGGAAGTAATCTCGCGAGTTCATCGACCGAAGATTGCCTCCCGAAACCGGGAAGCATCACGACAGAATGCCCAGAACAGCCGTTTCCGGATTGTGAACTGCACGCGATCTCTCAGCCAAGTTGAGGGAGTCGAAGGAACGACTATCGTGGATGTCGAGCGGGATATCATTGCAGCAGCAGCAGCAGCATCCGCGGCCATAGTAACAACAGCCTCCGCTGCAGTTAGCAGCGAGAATAGTTTGGATGAGAAGCGACCGGCGGAAGGACCGGAAGAACAGGGCTATGTGTATGATCTGTATGTCGTTGACGACACTCAACCGCAGGTGCACATCCCGTTCATACCGGACAATCTAGACGATATCAGGTTGGTTCTGGTTGAAGACTTGTACTATACGTTTTTCTCGTACATTTGAAGGTATTGAAGAATAGGGAGAAGGACAAAGGCCGGAGCGCGAACAACGGCTGAAGCCAAAATTTGACTGCTGAATTTAGATTTGTTTTGCGATTTAGGATTTAGTTTCATCTGATTCGGAATTATTTCTCTCTTTGTACATTAGCATACATTTTCATACCTAGTTGTTATACGTAGCTGTACCGTACGAGCATTCATTTGAGATGAATACCATACTCTTTTCCTGATAAATATAGAGAACAAATAATTCAATACTTTTCTTCGGTGTTGAAAAGTATTTGCTTAAAACTGAACAAAATGTGTATTTCATTTGATCAACTAGAGAAATTGAGAAAAATAAGTAAAGATCCACTGGAGGCAAGTATTGAATTATTTATTCTTTGTTTGGAAATTGATTCATGTCTGGTGTCGTGTCGTGACACTGCAGAATCTCTGTGGATGATAAAAAAAAATCGTGGTGAAAACGGGATTCGAACCTACGTCGATGGTGGATGATCTTTGATCAATCTTTGCCTAAGAATATTTTCGACAGTGAGAACAAAGCGTTCACTGGTGGTCATTATTCACCATCCAAATTGGAATTGAAGGGAACAGCTGAGCGTTCGGAGAATAGCAGACTGTGGAAAGATTTCGTAAATTTTCCTCATATTCGAAAAGTTTTTACTGCAAAATCTCAGAACATTTTACTCACTTTGAGCAAATCTACTGTTTATCAAAATTGAATCGAATTCAACTCAATTTTGAGTCGGTCTCATAGTTCGTGTACTTTATTCATCATGTTTGTGCAGTAGAATAATCGGTTGCTAGCACATTTAGTTTAAGATATCATTGATTAGCACCACTTTGAAATCAATCTTAAGCCATTGAATCATAAATCTGGACATTCATTTTTTTAATTCAATAAAACATCCACTTTGCAACAAAATAATAATCTCGATGAACATTTCAAATGGTCCTATCTGCTTTGATCGATTCTCTTCATCGACTTTCTCTTTTCATAACCATTGCTATGCAAACAAATTTCGCGCTAATTCTATCACAAAACGTCAAATACAACAGGGAAAGGTTTGCAGCTAAGCTATCGACGAAAGAGAAAGTCGATGAAGAGAATCGATCAATGCAGATAGGACCTTTTGAAATGTTTATCTAGTAATAATGTTAGATGAGCATGAACACTGTAGGATCATCCTAAACTTCACGTGGTATTTAGATCAAATTTGGTCTTAATAAGGCTGGAACAAATCATAAGTTGAACTCTAAAAAAATAAAATAAAGCCGGAACAAATCATAAATTTACTGTTGTCAGCTTCAAAGTTTTAGAAAATCGTGAGGGGGGTAATTTTGTGTTTTTTATGCAGTATGTACAACATTCCATGTGTTTAATTTTCCCTTCATAATGCTGTATAAAATACCCTGAAACATGCAGGTCCCTAAGAGTAAAGTTATAAATTTTCCCTAGGAGTTCTGGCCAGCATTATCTTCGAAAATATGACAACAAATCTATTAAATTTCAGGGTTTTCTTGGAACACTCTTTCAAGTTCCCATGGAATTTTTCTCGGAATACCATTGAAACTTTCTTAAGAATTGCATTGGAATTTATTTTCAACTATACTTAGAATTCCCTTAGAATCTCTTAGAATATTCCTTTGAAATTGTCTCCTGAAATTCTCCTAAAAAATTCTTTCCTCTCCAGAATTTGTTTTCCCTCGATTTTAAGAAAATTCACTTGATAATTCCTTCTAGGATTCCTTATAAATTCTCTTCAGTAGACCATTAACATCTTCTTAAAATTCGCCTGGAATTCTAATCACAATTCAATCTTTCTCCAGAATATTGAAATCACCGACAAACCGACATGAATGACCATCTGTCGCCGTGTTCGCGAAAAATGTGTATCCTAACCAGGGGCCTGGCTGGCGGCCATGTTTTTGATACTTTCATCTGCTCTTGTCGTTCTGCTTACAACACAATTTTGCGTCCCTTTCCTTCATGTATACGTCAAGCGGGTCGTATATAAATAAGGCCCGTGATCTTCCCTACTGTCAAACGTATAGGATTGATATGGGGTTGCCAGTCCCCTGATCCTAACCACGAACACGCATACAAAATGTATGAGTTGGTTCGTGTCTAATATATTCCGGACAAATTATTTTTATCTACACACAAAGAAAAATCGTTAGTAAAATTAAAAAAAGCATCGGTGAAATTAAAAGTTTGCGTTGGTTCTTTTTGGTAGAAAGCGGTTAGCTTTTAAATCGAAAGTTCGTCAACTGTCAGTTTAAAAGTTGCCCGCTCATGACTTTTAAAAGTTTAAACTTTTAAAATAAATTGTTCTACTGTCAAATTAAAAGCGTGGCATGGTTGAAATTAAAAGCGTATTACTCTTAATTCAAAACAAACTTTTGACATGAAAGTACGGTATACTTTAAATGACAATAATTGTTATTTTTAATGCAAATTAAATATTTTTATTTCAAAAGTAGTATATTCAATATAGTAACATCGTTTTAATTAAAAATTACAAATTCATTTATTTCTCTATTTTTTATTCACAATTTGATATTATTGTCTGGTTCCGCACTGCATATTCGTCGGATTGGGTAGGCAGTTTTTTTAGACAGCAGGCTGGTATGGATCGACATTTTTCACTTGAGATCCTTGTAGTACTGATTGAGGGCACTTCTCTCGGCGTCCGTCAGCTAAACCTGCTGCTGCTAGGGCCTTCTCTAACATCTTGCACCGCTGTAGGCTACGAAATGTCTCCGATAGACAGTGTATGATTGATGCTCGTGGCCTACTGGCGATTCGCCACTGCCTGAGGATGCCATTTTCCGCAAATTACTGGTCCAAGCGTGTTTCTCATCCTACAATTTCAAAAGCAATCAATAAATATTATTTGTTCCACGGAATAGAATTTCAAATTACCGGATTGATTCGCCCGGAAAAGGATCAACGTTGGCCGGATTCCCTCTCGGCTAAATTAATGATACCTGCGTATAAGCAATAATCAGTAATTCAATTATGCAAATTATCTGATTTCAAAAATTACTTACGGTTTAATAAAAAATTGCTCTCCCAAACTGCAATGTCAAGCAGCTGCAACTGAAATGAAAAAAATCTCTTTTTCGGCCGTATGGCACACTCCGCCAGTCCAGAAGTACATGGGTTCTAATTTGCAAGCAGTTACAGCGTTACAGACCAAATCTTCACACTTTCTAGTACAAGTTAAAAAAACTGAAGTTTATGTAGCTCCCGTTTTGCGCGTTTTTCTTTTTGTTTGCTCACGCTATCCTAAAACTACCCAAAAATGGGTAGAAATCAACACATGAAAAGTAATTTTGACAGTTAAACAATTTTCAATTTGAAAATCTGCGCTTTTAAAACTACAAGTTAAAATTAAAACAATCACTTTTGAATTAAAAACAACCTTGTTATATCAAACATTTTCGTAGTTAGAATAACGATTTTTTTGATACTTTTAAATTGAAAGGTTAATATTGTTACCGATACAGTTTTTGTTTTTTGTGTGTAGATAGCAAATTTCTATGGTTTTGACAGCTGGGATCGCTGCACCGCCGTTATGTATTCTCGATCAAGAGTTAAGTTTAAGTTTCATGGTGGTTTGTCGGTGTTGAAATCACCGACAAACCGACATGAAACTTAAGCTCAACTCTTGATCGAGAATCTATAACGGCGGATTCAAATGTGCTGTCAAAACCATATAAATTTATTATCTAGATAAAAATAATTTCCCAGGAATAGGTTAGACACGAACCAACTCACACATTTTGTATGCGTGTTCGTGGCTAGGATACACATTTTTATCGAACACGGCGGCAGATGTCAGTTTTGTGCTTTGATCAGAAATTTGATGGTACTTTGCATGGTCATTCATGTCGGTTTGTCGGTGTTGAAATGTCTAAGATTCAGTATCTGTCCAAACCTCAGCATCTTAAAAAATCTAAAATCATGTACCTAATTCTACAAATTGATGTATTCCTTATTCCAATTTGGGGAAAATTGGATTCTGTTTCTGTAACTTTGGAAATGTCCATAACCATGTGTTTAAGTTTAAAACAATATTTTGATGATATTCTGAGATTTAGAAAACATTTCAGATCCTGAAGTTGAAACCATTTTCTGAATTAAGAGATTTCTTATATTTGTTGCTGTATTGGAGTTTACCAAATCTTCAAATTTCTAAAGTTACCAATATTTTTGAAAATTTGAAAAATTGATTTGCCACTGAATTATTACATTTCAATAAAGTGGTTGAGAAGCATGAAATAGCACTTGCTAAAAAATAAATCCAAAATGGATGAAATGTACTTTTACGTTTTGGGTTATACATTCTTCTTTAATTGAACTCATTGAATAACGAGGAATTGAATGCTAACTTGAAATAAGTTTTATTATTTGCTTGAATTTATTTTTTGTTCCCTCGTCAAATTCGAATGTGATGTAACAAAAGTAAAAGTATTCATTTGTTCCGGCCAATTAAGTTTTAAATGTTTCCGGATGGTAATGACTCATCTACACTATCAAGAAAAACTTATAACAGCATGTGGAGTGAATTACATATATTGTTGATATTTCAACTGAAACTATACCACTCCAAAAATGCAAAACATCGTGTGATAAAAAGGCACGTTTCCGTTAAATCGTTTTGGGGTTCATACGCGTATGTTCATACATCATGTTTCTGAGAAATGAGCAACATAACGCATGCATAAATTATTTAATAATTCTACAAAATGAACAACAATTAAGCATCTAGTCAGCCGATTATTTAACGTCACTTCACCAAACCTCCCATTGAAAATGGATCTTTTCACTCAACACGAAAATCTAACATTTTTCGATTTCCTCGACAGGTATGAGCAATTTTATTTTAGCCAACTACCGTCCACTACTCTCCCACTATGCAGCAAGACACGAGCATCGGCAAAGTAGAGCAAAGTCTAAACTAACTTTTTCTATTTTCTTCTCCCTCCCGGTTCTTTCCTTCTCACCACCGTGTGTCAGTGTTGCCATTTACGATGATCCGCTGTTCTCGAGTCATCGCGGTTTGGGCGACCGGTCGGATTCGCTGGGTGAGGAATCGGAAGATTCCAACGATGAAAACAACTGGCGCAACGATTATCCCGACGAGGACGAAGACGTATTTGGTGATTGCCAAAGCGTAGGAGAGGATGACATGCGACGGGCCGTAGAAGAGCTCGATCTGGAAGGCGATCGTGAGTTGTCGTCCGATGGGGAAAATGAGGACGGGACCCGCGAGGATGGCAACAGCGGATTTGCCTACCCCGTGAACGATGACGGTGATGATGATGATGAATACCGCGATGCCGATGACGCCGGTTTGAATTCGAACGATGTGGACCGATTTGGGACGGCTTACGCGAGATACAAGGCCAGGATTATGAAGCAGCTGGAGAAGAAGCAACGGGGAAGCGACTCGGAAGAGTACGATTCGGAACTCGGAAGCAGCGATGAATTTAAGTCATCTTCGGCTAGTGGCAGCGAAAGTGAGAAGAATTTTGATTTGTATGATTAATTAGTGTGTTTGATTGAACAATAGTTACAGTAAGAAATATATAATATTACATCTCCAATCTACCACTGTACGACTAAATATCTTTAAATGATGACTACCATTGGTAGACCATCGTTCGCCTTCGATGTTAGTGAATCGTAGGACGATGGTTCGAATCCAAAAGTTCACCCTTGTTACAAAAGCGGGGTGAGTGTTTGTTGTAACCTTGTGACTAATTTTCCTGTTTGAATGCGCATCCCATTGCGTTCTGAACTTAAGAAGCTCCAAGGTAGATTAATTCAACCACAATTCCATTCGTAACTGACACGCTAACAAGCATATTCAATTACGATTCCGACAGTGGAAGACATTTTTTTTCCTTCCTTACTATCCTATCCGCTTTGTGTTCGAAATTTGCTGCGGGTAACGAACGACTGTTCGAGATGGTGTTCAGTGGTTTGCGACGCTAGCCTTGTGTAGTGAGAACATGAGTTGGTAAGCGTCGCATCGTGGGTTCGAATTTTACTCTTCGAATATATGTTCCTAAGAGTGAAAAATAGATCCTTGCTATTAAGTGTTCAATTTTAATCAATTTAATGATTCTAGTTGGTCAAAGGCAAGGTACAGTAAAGTCATATTCCACGCGGACTGATGTGCGTTCTTCAATTCAGCTCCGTACTTACCAAAAAGACAAAATCACTCGACGACATTTTTTGCTATAGGAAATCAGGACTCAGGAAGTTTTTGATTTTATAGGATCAATTTCAAGTAGCCCGGCGTATGAAATTACTCTAGCGGGGCGAGTCGCCTTTCGTCCGGATCCCGGAGCGCCATTTGGTCGCCCGGCGGATGAAATAACTCTAGCGGGGCGAGTCGCCTTTCATCCGCATCCCGGACAAAGGGCGAACGATCAGTCTTCAAGTCGCTCAATGTCAAATGACGTCACTTTTTCGCCAGCAATTCGTGTGGGATGACGTTTCACATTCATTTAGTGATGGCCGATTTTCATTCGAATAATCGATTAGTCGATTAACGAACCGAAAAGTAAAATATTTGTATTCGGTTATATCAACAATCAATACGAAACTAATGATTTTAAATTGGCTCACCACTTGACTAGCCTTTTGGTCCCAAGCAAACGATTAACGTACCCTATTCTAGTCGAAATTCTAGTACTACGCAATGTTTGTTTTGATTCACTACCCGAAAAAAAATAACAACAAAAATACATTAAAAAACAATGTAACAATAAGACGAAAATTATTGTCTTAACAATGATTTATATTGTTACGTCTACAATAAATTTACCTTGATTTATGTTGTACAAAACAATAAATTTCATGGTAAATGGAAAATTTACAATAAAAAAGGGGGGTTGTTAAGTATCTTAACAATGAAATTTTCGTGATTTTCCCATATAATTTTTTTTCAATAACATTATATATTATTGTTATTTTACTGTTGGTTGGCGAATTTATTGATTAAAAAAAATAACAGTGTACTTTAGAGTGTATGTGTTGGCTTGACAGATCTACTTTATCGACTTTAAAAATAAATCAAAAAATAAAACATTGCCCCGGGAAGGGAAGGGGGTGATATGTCTGTTACGGGTGGTCCTTTTTTTTACTGGTTATGGATCGAGATTCGATCCGGAACTTGTGAGAAATGCAGGCCAACTCCTCTGCGCTCGATATCCCTAGGTCACGTCTCCTTGGTGGTTGAGCGTCGTTGATAAGTTAATGCATTCGACTGGAGAGAATCGCCCATGAAATATGCTTCCACCTGAGAGTTCCTTCCTGACATCTTCAAGTGGTGGAATTTTTTATTATTATTGTATGATTATTGACTGCACGGAAAAGGTCTCCATTAAGCTTTAGAGAGGGTCTACTATAAGATATGAGCGGAGGCGGACTGCCTGGTTTTGAGCCAAACGAACTGTCAAAGCCAGAGCCATACGAGCAGCGCCTATCTTAATTACATTGGCAGTGTTGCTGACCCTCTCATAGTCTGCATGCTTCAATCAGATTTATTTTTATTGTTCGTGAAGTAACCCACAATGAAAATACACCAATATTTAATGTTACAACATTAAACATTAAACATTATTGTTCATGATCGAATCATGTTAACAATAAAATAAATGAAAAATACGATAAAAATCATTGTAACAATATTTTATTATGTACATTCATTGTACAGCTAGGTAGCAGTTTTGCCGTTTTCGGAAAAGTACAACATTATTACAATCATTTTTATTGTCGACAATAAATATTAATGTTAGAGCATTGTTTCCACTGAAAATTTCACTGTAATTTTTTTTTCGGGTATGAAAGTTTGACAGATAAAATGAGGGGTTATTGGTTTTTCCTATGTTTCGAGGGGTGAATCATTAGCTTGGGACCGAAGAGAGTACCAGAGCTGAGCCAAAAAGTTGAGCACGTTATTTCGGGACCTTCTAGTCTTAGAGTTACCTCTATGGTTATATCATGCCGATATAAGCATTAACTTCTCCAGAGGATCATCACCGATCGTTTGAAACATGTGCTGCACTCTCATTGGTGGAAAAATGCCAACACAGCGAACAAAAAATAATCGATTAGTTGTCAATCGAGTAATTAAAAAATGGAACATCTCTGATTTTGGTGTTATTGTTTTGATAAAAAAGTGCGCAAAATTACATCTCTACCGAGGGGGCAGCAAAATCACAAAATTACCTTGCATACGGGAGGTATTCATTGGATGAAAGGGACCATGAAAGTGGACACTAAAATAGAAAGTTCAAGCTGAACATTGCATTAGGTCCTAAGTAACATTGATCGATTCTCTTCGTAGACTTTCTCTTTCTTTAATAGTTATGAGCACCGCATAACCGTTCCTTGTCGTGGGTGTCGTATTAGATGCTACATAAAAGCATCTTTTATCGATCTGTTTGCTGAAAATACCTGGGAATGTCTTTTCATGGCCGTGGGAATAAAAAGAGAAAATCGACGAAGAGAATCTGTCAATGTTACTTAGGACCTAATGCAATGTTCAACTTGAGTTTTCCTTCCGACAGTTTCATCTTAGTATTCTTCTTTAGATTTACTCTGAGGGAAAATTTTCGCAGCATCGTATCTTTAATGTTGATGAGACGGCAATCACTACCGTAAGTACTTTGTTATTGAATTAACCATTTAATTCGATCAGTTGAAAATGATGTTTCCTACCACTCGAACTTCAACATAACACAATATTTTGAAGGAACTACGAGAAAAGTGTAAAGTAAAATAGTAATTTATTGGTTCAATTTTGTGGAATGGCGTGTAGAAAGTCACGGTAAAACCATAGAGGTAACTCTAAGACAAGTAGGTCCCGAAGAAACGTGCTCAACTTTTTGGCTCACCTCTGGTACTATCTTCGGTCCCAAGCTTGTCGAATCACCCCTCGAAACATAGGAAAAACCAATAACCCCTCATTTTATCTGTCAAACTTTCATAGAGATTGCTGACGTTTATCGTACGCAAACTACGTCACGTGTACGTATACGTAAAATGTTTTCATCGGGAAAAAAACTTCATAGCGGAAAATTTTCCCGATGAAAACAAATCACTGACACAATCAGGCATGGAAAATCATTTGCATTCATTTCATACATTCATTTACATTCATTTGTCTCTAACTTTTTTCTTCAACAGCATTCTGCAAAATGATGTATAGAGCTTTTATAGGTTTTGTAATAAGCTACAAGTTTTGTTCATAAATCAAATCTGTATCTCTTATGCATCACGAACTAGAGCGGGCAGAACTTGTTACAGTTTTTCAGTGAATGTAAAATACATTCACTGAAAAACAGTAGTGGACTCTGTTCGCTCTGCTTCGTCATGCATCAGAGATACAGATTTGACTTGTTTACAAAAGTTGTAGCTAATAATAAAACCTACAAAAGTTCTTTACATCATTTTGCGGAATGCTGTTGAAGAAAAAAGTTAGAGGCAAATGAATGTAAATGAATGTACGAAATGAATGCAAATGATTTTCCATGCCTGGACACAATCATACCTTAGCAATCTCTATAGCGAATCAAAACAAACATAGTGTAGTAATAGAATTTCAACTAGAATAGGGTACGTTAATCGTTTGCTTGGGCCCAATAGGCTACTAAAGTTGTGAGCCAATTTAAAATCGTTAGTTTCGTATTGATTGTTGGTAAAACCATAGAGATAACTCTAAGACCAGAAGGTCCCGAAGAAACGTGCTCAACTTTTTGGCTCAGCTCTGGTACTATCTTCGGTCCCAAGCTAATCGATGCACCCCTGGAAACATAGGAAAATCCACAAGCCCCTGATTTAATCTGTCAAACTTTCATAGCGAATCAAAACAAACATAGTGTAGTACTAGAATTTACACTAGAATAGGGTACGTTAATCGATTTGCTTTGGACCAATAGGCTAGTCAAGTAGTGAGCCAATTTAAACTCGTTAGTTTTGTATTGATTGTTGGTAAAACTGCTTGACAAAGTGGTCCCATGTTAGTTTTCCCTAAATGAAAGATGAGCTAATAATTGGAACACCAGCAGGGACGCTGTTCAGAGCTCATCCCACCGGATGGATGCAGACAGATTTATTCGTTGACTGGTTCAGACATTTCTTGCTCCACACAAAGCACACGAAGGACGATCCCGTACTTCTCATTTTAGACGTAAGCCACACCAAGAACTTGAAATTTCTTGATTTGGCTAGAGAAAACTATGTTACTGACGTATCGCTCCCTCCTCATTCCAACCCATCGCCAACAACTCTTGGACGTTTCGTTCATGGGTCCACTGAAGTCACATTACTCAAAGGCGATTGAAAAATTCCACAGAGAAACGAAGGGACAGCCGGTAAAACAGATAAACATTTCTGCACTCTTTGCAGAAGCTTACGGTAAGAGCACCCGCACCAATGCGTTGCTAAAGCTATTTTAGCAACCTCCACCATAACGCAGTAACCCCACTAGGGGTTGGTATTCAGGTGCGGGAAATAACAATCTGCCTCTCGGTG